AGGTCCTGCTGCAAGTTCAGACTACACGGAAATAAGACCCGTAGCACCGAATGACATAGCATCTGTTGTCCGGGAAGAGGTTATAGAGGCGCTAGCACCACTCACAGGAACAGGGAGAAGCAAAAACACTAACCAACATTGACTTCCAGTTAGGTCGTAGCCAAGACGAGAAGCCAGCCAGAGAAGTGCTCCACAACGTAGGACAGATCTGTGGAGGACTGACAATAATGTGCTGCTCTGTTTACATTGTGGATGCACAGGATATGTTCTGAGGTACTGTAGGGAAAGACGCCAGATATTTGAAAATGCAAGAGCCGCAAAGACGTCCAATCCACTATAGGGATACTAAATCTACATACAGCTTCGACGACGAATTTGCACAACCTACTTCTTCCCAAATAACAAGCAGTTCACCTTATCCACGACGCTCTCTCAATCGCCGACGATCGCAGTCACCAGTACGCCGTTCCTCACACCGAACCAATGAGGAAAACTAGCTCAAGTGACCTGTACAGGAGGTAAGGCCGCAGTTGAAGAAAATCCTCCGACGACACCACAGCCAAGTTGAAAAAGAATAACACTTTTATCACTGTGAACGGACAGTGTGTGAAAGCCCTTGTTGATTCGAGTGCCGATTATTCTGTCATATTCGAAGAGTTACGTCGACATCTAAATGCTCCTATGTTTGCTGAGAATGGACTTGTATTGAAAACTGCCTGTGGTAAAACTGTAGCCGCCTCGGGACGCTGTGTATTAACAGTTGATTTGAATGGGACTAAGAAGACGTTTGAATTCCTTGTGTTTCCTGAATGTAGTCATCAAATGATACTTGGATGGAACTTTTTCCGTGCCACCGATGCCGTTATTGATTGTGGAAATCAAGAACTCACACTTTCAGAAATCCTTCCAGACAATGAATATTTAAATAAGTCAGAGTCCTCCTTGTTTGCCGCAACCGATTATGTAATTGAAGAAAACACCGCAAGGCGAATATGTGCCCTGAATTCAGAACTACTACAGGAAACAGATGGAGCTATGATTGTTGGAAACAAGACTTCTAATGTGCGAAAAAGAACTAGCGATACCAGCTTCACTTGTCACTATAGAGGATGTTTGTGGTAAATTATGGGTAACTAATTGTTCTCGACAAACCCAACTGATACCTAAAGGAATGAATGTAGGCTGTTTAACGACCATAAAAAACGACGCTATTTGCTCCCTAAGTGATCAGGCTCCAGAAGGTTCCAAGGGAAATAGGTCCAGGAAAAGGTTATCTCAAGAAAACTTAAAAGAAATTGTCGATACTGATTTGACCAATGCTGAGAAAGACGAGCTATTGAGTCTACTATATGAATTTAGTGACTTTTTTACTTTAACAGTATTGCGAAAAAATCCCGATGCAATGCGGTGAAGCACAAGATTGATACAGGTGACAATGCACCAATCAAACAAAGGCCATACTGTGTGTCAGCCACTGAGAGACGTGTGATTGCAGACGAAGTGCAACGAATGCTAAAAGAAGATGTGATACAACCATCAGACAGTCCATGCTCATCTCCAGTCGTGCTTGTGAAGAAGAAAAATGGTGACTGGCGTTTTTGTGTCAATTACAGAAAATTGAACAAGGTAACTAAAAAGGACGTCTATCTGTTACCTCGCATCGATGATGCATTAGACTGCCTGGCTGGTGCAAAAATTTTCTCTGTGATGGATCTGAAGTCAGGCTATTGGCAAATAGAGGTTGATGATAAAGACAGAGAAAAGACAGCTTTTGTGACTCCAGATGGTCTCTATGAATTTAAAGTCATGTCGTTTGGATTATGCAATGCTCCAGACACATTTGAATGGATGATGGACAAGGTACTAAGAGATCTCAAATGGAATACTTGTGTTGGCTACCTCGATGACATAATCATGTACGTACCTAATTTTGAAGAACATCAAAGCGTTTGAGGGAAATAAATACTGAAATGTATCCAAAGAGTAGGACTGATGCTAAATTCCAAGAAATGTTCCTTCAGCAAAAAGAAACTGACTATACTGGGATACTTAGTCGATCAACATGGAATATATCCCGATCCACAAAAGGTAGACGCTGTAGCAAAGTTCATTGTTCCAAAAAATATTGCCGATGTCCGAAGTTTTCTGGGTTTGTGCTCCTACTACCGACGATTTATCAAAAATTTCGCAGATATCGCAAGGCCCCTGCGTAACTTGTTGAAGAAAGATGGAAAATTATCTTGGAAAGCGATACAGATTGAATCTTTTGCAACGCTCAAAAGGCTGCTGACCAGTGGCACTGTTTTGGGACATTTTATTCCAGATGCAGAAACCAGGATACATTCTGACGCTAGCGGCTATGGCATAGGTGCAGTACCATCGGTTCAGATCCAGGATGGCAAAGAAAACCAATAGCCTATGCATCCAGGTCCCTTACTGCAGCTGAAAGGAACTATTCCACCATTGAAAAAGAATGCCTTGCCGTCATCTGGGCAATTAGTAAATTCAGGTCATACCTCTACGGAAAACTCTTCACGGAAGTCACAGATCACCACTCTCTATGTTGGCTGGACAATGTTAAGAATCCATCCAGAAGACTTGCACGATGGGCTCTCAGGTTGCAGGAATACGGCATAAATATCGTCTACAAGAGAAGTCGTAAACACTCCAATGCAGATTCACTATTAAGGAAGCCTCTTATAGAACCAATAATTGAGAATAATGAAGACATCCCTTTCTTTGCAGCGATCGTAGATTACGGAAAAGAGCAACAGAATGACAAACGATTAAAATATATCATTACAACTCTCAAGAGAGGTGATGCATATGAAAATTATCAAATAAGAAATGGTATACTGTACAAAAAAGAAGCTATGATCCTATGGGACAGCAATGGCTCTTGATGGTACGAAAGCAACTTCGAAGCGAGGTTCTAAGAAGTCTTCATGATGCTCCAACCACTGGCCATCTCGGATTTGCCAAAACGTACAACCGAATAAGGAGGAAGTACCATTGGCCAGGGCTATACGGAAGCACACAGCAGTACGTATCACATTGCTGAGAATGCCAAAGACGGAAATCACAGCTGCAGCGTCCACCAGGACAGCTTCATCCGATAAAAACCTCCTGACACACTGTTTACCAAAATTGGAATAGATCTACTTGGACACTTTCCCGTTACACAAAATGGGAACCGGTGGATTATAGTTTGCACAGATTACCTTATCAAATTTGCAGTCACGTAGGCAATACCGACAGCTGAGGGCACCGAAATTGCCAAGTTTATGGTTGAAGAAATTGTACTGAAGCATGGTGCCCCCAAAGAAATGATAAGTGACTGAGGTCACAACTTCCTATCCAACGTTGTTAAAGAATTAATTCATCTATGCAAGACGTCTCATCTGCTGACGACTACTTACTACCCTCAGACCAATGGCTTAACTGAAAGATTCAATAAAACATTGGCAGACATGTTGTCCATGTAGGTAGACGCTGATTAAATTAAATTAGTACGATAAATAAAGTGAATAAAACTCCCACTATTTTATTTTATTGATTTTTATGGTATAGTTTACACATTTTCTGAAATGCGAAGTTAACTAATGAATCATTTAAAAAAGTGTAGCCCTGCACTAGCCTTCGCTTCCACAAAGTGGCCTCAGAGCTGAAGCAATTGCCCATCCCTGGTTTAAACCATTACTTCTATAATTAAGACACAATAACACGCCGAATAAATACTAATTCAGAAGTCAAACAACAAAAATCAGCGTTAATTTACAAAATTTTCACAGGACTAGTTTCGATGGTTTCACCGAACCATCATCTTCAGCTGCAAAACCGCAAATGAACAAGATAGGAAATAATGTTTAGATAAGATAAGAAAGCCTGGACAAGAATAAGCAAGTGGCGCCATCTGTTGATCAAACCAGAACTAAAACATAATTTCTTTAAAGGCCGAAGGCAAACATGAATTGGAATTAGGATCGCTAACTAGAACAGAAAGATTTTTTTGAATGTGAAATGCCTCCAGAAAATCAAGTTCTCCAATGGAAGATGTTTTTGAATAATTTTGGTGGCAGAAGAATTGAAAGTTTGATTTTCGGACCAACAATGTTGGGCAACAGAAGATGTTTGTGTTTCCTTTGTTCTAACATATGCCTCATGTTCCTTGACGCGAAATTTTCAAGGCTCTCTTTGTTTAGCCAATGTAAATTAAACCACACTGGCAAGGAATCCTATAAATACCCCAGGAATTTATATCCGGAATGGGGTCCTTGAGTATGGAACTCAGAATTTTATTGATAGGAGAATAAACGACCCGAAAGTTAAAATTTCTGAAAAATATGTGCAACTTTATAGATAATTGATGAAAAGAAGGGACTGGCAATAGAATTTTTATATGTGCCTTTTAGTGTGCTGAAACGAGAATTTTTTAACTGCTTGATTAATAATGTTGGGTGAAAAGCCCCTGTCAATAGCTATTGCTTTTAAATAACTTAGTTCTTCATCAAGGGATAGTCTGGAGGAACAAACTTGATGAGCACGGAAAGCATAGGAATAAAATGAAGCTAACTTTCATTTAGTCAGATGACATGATTTAAAGTGTGGTGGAAGGCAAGCCCATGAAAATTTGTGATAAACTGTAATACTGAAGTTGGATGTGTTACAATTAATGTTGTGATTAATGATTACAATTAATGTTGAAATAGATAAATTCCTTCATGTTGCTGGGGAATATGCTCAACTAACAGAATATTAAATTAAACTAAAAAGCTATGCAATATATAAGGCCAACTACTTCAAAAACTTTATAAAATTTTAATAGCAAATTAAACACAGTACACTTTTTTAAATAGCAAATCCTGTAATAGTCCTTACAAAGCTAAGAAATGTAGTATACTTAAAAAAAAAAAAAAAAATTACAGAAACATCTGCACAAAACAAGAAATATAATTGTTTTGTATTCGTATATTGTTATTAGACAAAATAAAACAACTTACCATCTGCTTTAATGAGTATTTGCTTGTATCATCAAAATATTTATTTGACTTTTTATCCTGGAATTTTTAAAAAAAAGTTTTAAATATATTACAAAATTATAAAAAAGGAGGGATACATTAAAAAAGAGAGAAGAATGCACTGCAAATATTTTAAATCACAAGCAAAAAAATGACAATTTTCTCAACTGTATAATTAAATAATGAATTTTTATGTATGTATACATGTTCCTCGCACTGTTAAAATGACAGCTGCACTTAGATACATCAAATTTTGAACACAATCCTCCATCCGAACATGTAAATTTTTAAAAAAAAATCTGACTCAGAAATTTAAAAGCTTCATAAAACACAATAACCACTCAGTTAAATGCATATATTTTTATTCCCAATTTCATCAACAAACTCAGATTTAAACGAAATGCTTTGCCACAGTCTGAATTAAAATGTTTTTATCTTCCATGCAGCAGTGTATTGACATTCAACAAGGCATATGATATTTAATCTTTTCTTTACGTTTGTTCCATTGTTAATAAACTAATTGATTTAAAAACAATAAATACAGATTTGTTCTCAGCTATCATTAATTCTAGGTAGGCTCATGAAATTATACTGCCTGGATTCATTAAAATCATTATATATTCGTCTTTCTTTCTCTCTCTTTTTTTTTAAACAATAACTAGTTTAGATGACTGGCCACACCAGCAGCTAGTTTTTAAAACAAATTAACATGAAGCAAGTTAACAATATGATTTGGTAACAAGCTCAGGTAATAAAGGTTCCAAAACATAAATACAGTACAAAGTCCGAGATGCAGACTCGTCGGGACTTCACTGATTCCAAATTTGGGATTTTTCTGGATATTAGATAATCAGTTTAAATCTAGTAAGATGGCATCAAATAATTAGAGAAATTATAAAATTAAGAGCAGTAGTAGAAATCTAGTAGAAATTATCAAATTAAAAATATGAAATCGTGATTTATGAAATAATGAAGCATTTATGATCTAAACAGTATCAAATTTTACAAAGAAAAAGCTTAATATTTATTTGTTTACTTTATTAAACATTTCTTTGAATGTAAATTGTTTAAGTTACTTTGTTTTTGTGCTAATACTTTCTCTCCACTTCTATAGACAGACGTTATTTCTTATTCAGTTACAAAGTTCCGCTGTTCAAGTCCTGTAATTGCTGTGTAAAGGAATTCTGACTAATTTGTCAATCAAAATTTTTTCTTTTTCAATACTGTCACTGTTCGCTTTCTTCAATACAGGATTTTTCTGGATCTAGAACCATACTACAGATTTCATTGTCCATTAATTGATTGATGATTGGAGCATTCTCACCGCAATAAAAAACTTCCTGTTATATCATCTTCATTTACTACCGCTTCTTCACATTTTATTACAAAATCCATTAACTGGAAAATTTCACCTTTAGTTTGCGATATCCGAAAGCCTTCAGATTTGTGGCTATCATCTTCATCGCCCTTACCATGAAATATGGTAGCTGGCTATAAATTATGGCAAGCACTTCTTAAAACATCTGGGGCACATCATCCCACGATCTTGCAATGCTCCATACAACAGATTTTATGTTACAATATTTTTTTAATTCTTGAATAGTTTTGCCATTATTCAAGACATCTAAAATGGATTTTAAAAATGCTACTTTATATTTGCATTTCAGCTCGTGCACTATTCCGATATCTACAGGCTGAATGATGGACATACAGTTTGTAGGAAAGAATAACATGGATACATTATCTTTCACTAAAACTTTAAATGAAATATGAGCCGAACAGTTATCAACAATCACGACAATTTTCGTATCATCAGGTAAGCCAACCGAATTCAAATTTTGCCGAGCCTTGGGTATGAAATGATTTTCAAACCAGTCATACATTAGCGCTTGTGTCATCTGTACTCTTTTATTTGCATGATATATAACAGGAAAACCTTTACTCCTTTAAATGCTCGAGGTCATATTTTTTTCCGATTATGAAACATTTATGCTTGTGCATTCTTGCAGCATTGCACATGCTAAAATTGTTAGTCAAGCTTTGGAATCTTTGACACCAATGGGAGCCTTTTCTGTAGAGGTTTCCAAGGAATTTTGTGCTACATATTGCCAGAAAAAACCAGTTTCATCAGAGTTGTAAATTTATCCTGGAGATAACGTTTCACTTCATTTGCAAATAGTTCAGCAGCTTCAGTATCGGCTAAAGCTTTTCCAACTGAAACATTTAACTGCATTATACCACAGCAATTTTAAAATTTGGTTAACCAATCTGTGAAATCTGAACTCAGTTTTTAAGTTCATTTCTTCATGAAATATACTGGCTTGAGCCATTAGCATTGGACCCGTTAATGGCACGCTCTCGCTAGCCTCTGTCTGATTCTTCAATCATCACTTTGTCATGATGTCACTTTTAGCATAGCAAATAATTTTTCTGTTATTCACTGCAAGTCGGGTGTTGGAACCCACAAAAAAATTCATAAAGTTCATTTTTCTGTTATATCACACACAGTTGACTTTCCAATGCCATACTCCTCACTCCTGTTGCAGCTCCAGAATTAGAAACTCTTTTCGACAAAACCAAAAGTTCAAACTTTAGTTTTCATAAAATTGCTGTAGTTATAACAACCTGCAAAAAATAATAATAATAAGCTGGATCAAATCAGAAAGTTAAGGAACGGCGCAATCTGCTATATTAACTGAAATTCTTTGGAATCAGTAAAGTATAATTTAGCCTAGCTTAACAGCATCTGCTATACATTGTTGGCTATGCAGCATGGCAAAGAAAGACAAAATGTTTCGTTAAATTTTGTCTTGCTTCTTTCTATCATGCACTGAGACAATTATACCTGAATTGTATTAATTTAGTTATTATACCTACGTCTAATTCTTGCACATGCTTAAGACTTATCAGAGTGTTAAATAAATAAATTCGCACATATACTTAAGCTTACTGAGGGCTCGAACTAGATATTTTGCCACTTGGTACAGTCTCTGCAGGTCCTAAATTCTGCTACAAGGCACCAATTCTAAGTTCCAAATTTCCACAGCCCCTTAATTTTAGGTCTCGGTGCTTTCCCTAAATTCTAAAACTTTTATCATCCCTTAATTTTCTTACTTGCTGCTTCTCTAAATTCCAAAAATTTTAGCTTCCTTAAATTCTGCTGCCTGGTGTGGCCATACGAGATCTGGCGCCAGTTCTGGGTTTATGTGAATAAAAAATCTGATGTGTACACCACATGACTTCCTTGTACAGAATATTAAATTATACGCGTTTTTATTTGTATTTCATTTAACTTATTAGATTGAATTAAATCTACTTTGCCAACAGCGCATAAACCACAATAGAATAAATGCATTCTTTAAAATTCACTTTGTTTACCATAGCGACACTCTGGCGCTAGGTTTACTTAACAGTATTATATTTCGTTCATATTATAACTCAGAATGCACAAAATTTATATCATTTAAAGAATTATCTAATCGTGCCACATGTTCTATTCAAATACTATAATAAAGCTAGAACGATGTATAAAAGAAATTAAGCAAACAAAACAAAAAAGAAACAGTTTTTCACAGACGATTGAGTATTTCTCATTCAATTAATTCAGTTCTCACTTCGCGAGAAGGCAAAAATACATAAAAACTCAAAATATCTATATTAAAAATTACGAAGTAAATCTTAAACACTTATTTCCTCGAAAAAATTCCCAGAAAGGATTAAGCATGATTTAATTCGCAATAATAAATGAAGGTTATGTTGTTGCGAAGCTAAGTTTCTCTAGATTGGCAACAAATCCACTATTCTGCTGTTTCAAATGTAAACAAAATGGCCGCCATGTTATTTAAAAGGCTTAGCGGCACTTAAACAACTTTTAAAATTGTTGATAATTCTAAAATATTGCATACAGATTTACTAAAGGCATAAAAACCTTAACCGGAAGATAAAAACAACATAATTCAATCATTTTTAAAGCAAAAAAATGTACAATTTACAAACATATAAGAGTAAAGAAACTGAGATCACTGAGCCGGGTAACAGAGTGGATATATATTATAAATATATTTATATACGTTTGGTGCGGCCGATTGCAACCAAAATACGAGGTGCACATCTACATGTTATAGCAGTCATATAAATTTCAACGTGCTGAGGCTACTCGTTTTTGAGTTATGCGAGATACGTACGTACGTACAGACGCCACGAAAAATTCTCTTCAGAATTCATTTTAAAGCAGTTTTTTAATTTTTTTTTGGAGGAAAAGAGTCTTTATTCTGTCCTTACGTACAGATATCACGCAAAAACATCGTTAAATTGCATTGGATAGCGGTCAAAAGTGGATATTTTCGTTGAAATATGCTGCCTGAAACTTTTCGCGATTACAATACTTCCTTTTTACTTCGTACAAGGAAGTAAAACTCAGTTATTCTTAATTTTAGTAGCACTAAATGTAATCTTCTGGCCTATCGGTGTCATTAACAAAATCTACTTTTAGCATATGGAAAGAAATTTTTGTTAAATTTTTCCTTATCCACATTTAGCACATTTAACTTAAATCTGTAATCATCGCCAAGCGTAATGTCAACATAAAAGGTTTCCATATTCTTTGATAGTCAATTACTAATATGAAAAAAAAAATTGCTTAAGCATCTTTGCATAAGTCATTATTCAAGTTGTCGTGTGCTGATAAACATACGATGATGAAAGCAAAATACAGTAAATAATGATAGGTTGGCGTCAGGGATATAAAATATTAGTAGTTGTAAAATCAGCCATGTTTCTATGTAGAATGTTTTGGTTCGAGATGTATGCCGAGCAGATATGCAACTACAAAGCCAAATTATTAATCATACAAACGGATTTTCCACACTTTTTTCTAACGGCGAAAAAAACAAATGTGCATGTGCAAAGCACAACAAAAAATTTCTAAACAAAATTTTTGTTGGCGTTTTTAAGGTTCGGATGTAGATCATTCCGGATATCGGATGTCCAGATCTCGGACTTTGTACTGTACCTTTTTCATGTCATAAACACATGAATTTATATCCCAATAAAAAGTCTAAACTTAATTATTTTATAATTTGGAACTTTTTTAATACGAATAACCTACATCTATTACAACATTATACGAGGAAATAAAAATCCCAGAATCTGTATTTAACCTGATTTTTACAAGTAGTTATACTTGTTTTTAAATTAAATAAATTTAATCACATTCAGTTTAATTCTCATTAAATTATTCATTATGTTACTAATATTTCATGATTAAAAATATTAAGTAAAATAATTAAAACGCTAAATAAAAATGGTAACAAATTGTCTATTTCTTCAAGCACTTCTGCACAATAAATTTACAGAATATAAATCACATTAAGCAATATCAGTTACAGCTACATGAAAGATACCTAGTAATAATGGCTTAAACCTATTCAGTGGTCAGATGGAAATGAAGTCTATCAACACGTCTTCAATTTAGCATCTATTGTTTATTTTTGAAGAACTCGTGATATATCGTGCATTTAACACGGGAGCGAGTGCGCTCTTTTGAGTTACACGAACGCACGCCCTGGGTCCAAAAGACCCACTTTGTGTTTTTTGTAGAAAAAAACTATTACTCTTCAAGCAAAAGTGTTACATTTATGCCAAAATTTTATGTTCAAACTTAAAAAATATGCAAATTTTAAAAGACATCTTGAATCTAAGCATATCAATTTAAAAGATAAATCTGAAGAACGAAATTATCAGAGCTCAAAAATAGTAAACAAGTAACAAAAAGGTTTTATTACTTCAAGTGAAAAAGCTTTGGAAGCTAGTTACCTAGCAAGCTTAAGAATTGCCAGAACTGGGCAGGCTCACACTATTGCAGAAAACCTTATATTACCAGCAGCTAAAGATATTGTTTTAAAATCATTCAACGAAAAAGCGGCTAATGAATTTGATAACATTCCTTTATCAAATGATACAGTAAGTTGATGAATTTATGAAATCGCAATTTCCATACAAGAGGCACCTATTCAAAAATTAAAACACAGTATTCTGCATTGCAGTTCGATGAAAGTACTGATATAATGAACTTTGTTCAATTATTAGTTTACATATATTTTGCAGAAGATAAACGAATTGCCGAAGAGTATTTATTCATGATAGAGCAACTGCAAATGAAATTTTCAAAATAATTAACAATTTTATGTCTGAGAAAATTGTTAATTTTTTAAAAGCCAAGCTTTAAGTTCAAGAATATTTACAATTTTATGGTAACACATGGGCAGTGAACATGAAACACTTTTGTCACATTTCGAAGTAAGATGGTTATCCACAGCAAAGTTTTAAATCACTTTTCTGAACTTCAATCAATAATTCAAATTTTCCTCTATGACAAAAATTTGAATTACAAAAACGTTTAATGAATTATGGTTGGCATGTTTAGCATATTTAGCTGATATTTTGGGAAAGTTAAAGGAATTAAAAATTAGGATTACGAAGTCAAAGTGTTAATTTGTTTACCATTAGAGATAAAATACATGCAATGATAAAAAAAACTCTAGCAATTATCAAAGAATTGGATAATAATATATTAAGTTTTTTTTATCACTTTCAGTAATAAAAATGGTTTCCAGCCACAGATAATTTGAAATTGAAAGAAGAATTAGCATTTGAGATTAAAAATCATTGTTTTTCATCGATAAATAAATAATTTCAACACGTACTTTTCCGAGGATTATGAAAAAGAAAACTGGATTAGAAATCAAATGTACCTGAAATTTTATCTCCAGGAGAAAAAGAAAAATTAACAGAAATTTCCTGTGATCGAACTCTAACTGAAGATTTCAAAAATAACACACTTGTTAACTTTGGGCTGAACTGAAAAAAAGAAGTGAAAGAATTTCAAATAAGCTATTAACTTTTTATTGCCTTTTTGTGCAATCAATTGGTGTGAACAAGAATTTTTTTCCAAGTTATATTTGAAAAAAAAAAATACAAAAAAAAAATTAAAAGTGGATCCTAATTTACAATTAAAACTAAGTGAAATAAGACCAGACATAAAGAAACTGATCTCTCCTAAACAGGCCCAAATTTCAAATTAAAGTATAAATTTTGATAATTAAAATGGTAACTAATTTTTAATCTAATATTTTTTATGTGTGCATATTTGATACAAATAGCCAATAGGTTTTGCAAATGGCAAAATATACATTTTTTTTTTTTTTTTTTTAAATATTCTATTGAGAAATTGAAAAATGATTACTGTAAAATATAGTAGTGGTACGTAAGTTTTTCAACTTTTGTTTTGACATTAGTCAAAAGGTTGAGAACTGCTGGTCTAGACCATCAATTAAAATAGACAACACTATTAACACTGCCAAATAAGACAAAAATCTTTTTTTTATGTTGAAAAAAACAACTTTGGCCATATCCTTCTGTGCGAAGATGTGAGGGAAAGCAGACACTCCAGAAAATAAAGAAACGTGATAAAAATTTATTTGACTGGAAACAAATTTCAAGCCAGCAGATGGGATGATATTACTGAAAGATTTAATAACATTAAGCATTCAAATGCAGTCAAAAAGTTAATGATGACATTGTTAAGATTTACAGCTCAGCAAGATTTAATAAGGTAAGCATTAAAATATAATGCAAAAAATTAATGTTGAAATTGTTAAGATTTACAGCTCGCTTAAATCATTTGTAAATTAAACAAAAATATATTTAACTTTTATTAATCACTGGTCAAGCTAAACTAAAATCTTACATTCAAATAATTAATTCAATAGAAGGAAGGCCAACATCCTTCACATAGTAATAAAAACAAATTAAGTTCTTTGAAGAATCGGTGATTGTTGATGAGGAAGGAGAAAGCATAGACTTGTATACTACTTACTAATCTACAACTACTTACTAACCTAATACTACTTACTAATCTACAGAAACGAATAACGATCAACAAGAACTTTCAAATAGACTTTTAATTTTAACAAATCTAGCTGAAATGAAATCTGATGATACTAGCAGTGCTGTAAAATATTTGCAAAACAATATTCTAATAAAATTGAAAAGCAATAATCTTCAGCTGAATGCATCCATTTGAAAAACACCTATGAAACTATCACTAATTATTAGAGAATGATATGAAGGATTTTCATGTTTTAAATTTAGATGCAAAACATAGCAAACAGAAATATTTTAAGATGACATTACAATCATATTTTAATTTTTTATACAAGTGCAACTACTTTTAACTTGTGGGAAGTATGAATTGGACAAAATCTGTCATTTCAATTAATAATCTGCTTGGCCTTTCTGCACATGTAAAAAGAAAAAAGGTTGGTGGCTATGCGCATGACTACATTAAATAAAAATTCAGTTATGTCATCAAAAATTCAGTCATCCTTACAAAAATTACAATTGATAATAATAAAAGAATTACTAATAAGAATGCTAGTATGTGCTTTTAAAAAACAACTGCTCAGCAAAATATAAAATTCATCCAAATACTAACCTTAAATTTTGGATATTCTTGATGGCTCAACCGAACAGGGCGCGCAAATCCTCTGCTGTCTAACTTAGTTAGCATTACTTCCACCTGCCGCTTAGCACGTACACACTTATTAGTATTATTAGCTACTAAATGGCGTGCCTCTTCTAGTTGCTTTTTAAATTTTGATGCTGTAACAAGATCACCATTTAATTCTGCTCTTAAATAATTTGCAGCCAAATGATTCAAATCATCATCAGTATATGTAACTGGACGATCATCTGACTGTGGTGAATTTTCACATCTCGCCATTTCCTCAGACTCTAAAAAATAAATAAAATAGTTTCAGTTGAAATTAAATTTAAACAATATAACACAGTTGTCGACATGCATAAGTTTAAAAGAATAAAACTAAATAGCAGCAATTTTTTACTTATCTGAATAACTTCTGATTATAAAAACAAGTTTTTTTATATTATCAAACCTGCTCATAGACTTAGATCCTATTATTTCATATGCCTGCCCAGTTTATCTGTGACCTTCCTGAAGGAAAGGGCATATGTCTGCCTAGTTTATGTGACCTTTCTGAAGGAAAGGGCATATGTTTGGCCAGTTTATCTGTGACCCTTCTGAAGGAAAAGGCTGCAGCACTCATCAACAACCTTAGGGATGAGTCATCTTTTCCGTCTATCATTTTTCAACAATATGTATTGCAGCTAACTGAGGTGCTGCAAATGTTCATGTTTAATTTATGAACCTTGCGAATATAAGAAAGCAATGTGTGGTCATTGTTGTGTATCAGAGTGTTAACTCTTAATAATGTTGGAACAGAAAACTGTGTCCATGCATTCAAATTTCCAAAGGAGGCTCAAAAATGCAGCTGTGGGGATGAAAGATTCCTTGAACAAATTTCATTCCATCTAAAAAAATATTGCTTGCAAAAAGCATTTTCACAAAACATGATCATATGAACAGATGTCCTCATGGATGAAGATGACACCATTTTGCAAATTCCGTATTAAAAGAGGATGCTTATCTGTGTATATTTATTAGCTACATAACACATACGACTGAAAGCCCACTGGTAGTCAGGAAAAGCAAATCAGAAAAATTAACGGAACACTACATTCTAATATGCTGATAAATTGTTCCAATTAAATGTCCTTTTAATCAAATAGTACAAGTAATAAATTTAATGACATGTGATCCTTTCATGTTTAACAATATTGAAAGTAATGCAGATTTAAATGCATCGATGAATAAACAGCAAGTGTGTTTATGATAGCAAAATTCAAAATAAATGGAAAAAAAAGGAGTTCCAATGCATGCTTTTTAATGAAGAGCAGGTTTTAATGTACATATTGTGTGAGTTATTCAAAAACTTTCTGTGCCGTTTACACAGAAAGGTTATTGATTTTAGAAAATATACCGTTTGAATATGTGATCATAATAATATGCCATTATTTCAGAAAAGAGAAATTTAAAAAAATAAGTATATTAAGATATGACAAAAACAGTATATGTTACAAAACCACTATAAACTTTTGAATTTATGATTTTTTTTTATTATATTGAAACAAATTTTTAATTTCATTCCTTAGTTTGATATACAGAGTGATCTTTTTTAAAATGACAGTGTTTGGAGCGCCCCGTAGTGCGATCTAATAGCCGAAATGGCACCAAACTTGGTATTTAGACTAATGAAGACATGGGAAAAAGAATTCCGTGAAAAAAAATTAGTTCCGAAAATCCCCGCTGTAGCTTACAATAACGAGAATTAGCATAAAACACAAGTATCAAAGAAAAATGCAAATGTTGTGCGATGACAGCACCAGTAATAGTGGCTATAAAAGCAAGTAGTAGACAGCTCCGACAAATAATCTCAGCTGAAGTAAACGAGCTCCAGTGGACATGCCTCTCACGTTACCGGAATGTGCGTTACTGGTGAAGCTGTAATACATGAATCAATGTAATTCATCCGCAGCTCTTCGGGAATTTCGAACAAACAAAAACAAAAAAAAAAAAAAAAAAAAATTAAAAAGGAGGCTTTATTGCTGAATGGTCTTAAGAAAATGATTAAGAAGTTCAAGGTCACTGACCATTTGCGCTGGGAGAGGACGTAAACCAGTATCAGAAGATGTAATAACTGATGTGGCAACTGCAATTGTCGAATTGGATATGCAGCTCGACAATTGGATATGAATTATTCCATGGTGTGGAGAGTTTTGCGGCGTGCTATTGGACTTTACCCCTACAAAATCAGCCGCTTGCACGAACTGAAACCAAGTGATTATGATAAGCGAGTGACATTCGCCCTATCGTTTCTTGCCAGGGTAGAAATTGATGATGCTTTCCAATGACACATTCTGTTGGGAGATAAATGCCATTTTTATCTCAATGGGGTGTGTAAACACACAAAATAGCTGAATTTGGGCTTCTGAGCAGCCCCACACCATGCACAAAATCCCATTAAATTCCCCAAAAGTCACTGTTTGGTGTGGTTTCACAGCCGAATTCGTAATTAGGCCATTCCTTTTTGAGACCATCACTCCGACAGGACCCTAAACGTGCACCATAAATGCAGAAAGGTACCACGAAATGCTGCAAACGTTTGTTATTTCACAACTTCAGCAAAGAAACCGTCTCCAACAGACAATCTTTATATAGGATGGTGCTCCGCCACACATTAGTAATAAGGTAAAGCAGCTCTTGTGCTAAAACTTCACTGATAATAGAGTCATAAGTCGCAGTTTTCCAGTTGCATAGCCACTTCGTTCCCCTGACCTCACACCATGCGATTTTTGGCTTTGGGGTTATTTAAAATCTCAAGTTTATGTTAGTGGAGTATCAAATTTGTCTATTCTAAAAGGACAGCATAACAAAGACAGTGCAGAATATTCCTCGTGATATGTTACATACGGCTGTGGAGAACGTTGTGCACAGAGTGCACGGTGTTATTTCTGAAAACGGTGCTCACATTGAATGTGGTCTAATTCCTCACCGGGGAAGTTAATGTAGTAAATAAACATTAATAATTTATCTGTACGATTGTATGTCTTGATGTCCCATGTCTTCATTAGTCTAAATACCAAGTTTGGAGCCATTTCAGCTATTAGGTCGCACTACAGGACACTCCAAACACTGTCCCTTTAATAAAGATCACCCTGTATATTTATTAAAGTGATAAAAGGAAAATTATAATTTAAGAAAAAAAAAATTAAGACAAGAGCAGACTAATGGGCAAGCAAGCCAGATGCCAAAGCAAGTTTTACAAGTTTTATTTACACCTGAAAAGAAATTACATAAAAATATTTCAATATGAAAAAAATCAGTTCTATATACATTTGCAAAAAAATTTTTATATTTGTGGAGATATTTTATATTTAACCAAAAAACATCAAATAACTTTTTTCAATGACATACACATGATGCAATTTTGTCGACAACTTGCATTTTATTCTCTGATTTGTGTCTACAGCATAATCTTATGGATGCAGCTTTAGGACCGTATTCATGACACATACATAAATAACAAACCTTTCTTAGAAAGATAATTTAACCTCTATAGTAACCATAATGTTAACCTGATACTGCCATAACTGACTGCCAAAGTATTGGGGTCACTTCATAATAGTGTCACAGCCTTGCACGAGTTAGTTGCTGTATGAAAAGACAGGAAACTTTATAATGGTGCAACAGCATAATGGAGTATATACAAATTGTAAATCAATATCTTGCTTGAAACTGATTGTCAGCACTTGTATGCAGTGCAACATTTTTCATAAAGAAGCATTTTCATAATACCTACCCTTATACAAGTCCATTTTCACATCAATTGCTGATTAATTATCCCTAGTGAAGTTGTGAGATTATGCTATTCTTTCTTAGCAAATACACATGCTATCTGTCAGTAATAACAATGTAATGCGAACTAGTTCATTTGCACCCACTGTGGTGCTTAATTTGTGCATAACAGCATGTGAGCTGAGCTTATTCATGACCATCAAAAGGTTAAGCAGAGGATGAAATAAATCTTGAACATCTACATGAAAAGTGGAGACTTAGAGTGTGTGACTTTTATAGAGTGTGATAAGGATATTATTAATAATCCATTATAACACTATCTTCTTCTGGATTCAATAGTTCTCTTTGACAGATAGCAACTTTTTCTAGAGAATTTCTAGAAAGCAGCTTTCCTTTTTCTAGAAAGCTCATAGGCCGTGATGCTTAAAAATACACTAAAAGTAAGAAAATACTAAATGGGGAAAAGTCCAAATATTCCATTGCTAACAGTAAAAATGCTTTCTTGTATTTGAAATTGACATGTTCATTAAGTAAAAAAAAAAAAAAAATCTGATGTATACACCACATGACTGCCTTGTACGGAATATTAAATTATGTGCATTTTTTCCTGCAATTCATTTAAACTTATCAAATTGAATTAAATCTACTTTATTGATAGCATATAAACAACAATAAAATAAATGCACTCTTTAAAATTCACTATATTTATTTACCATAGAGACACTCTGGCATTACAGCTCATTCATTTTATAACTAAGAATGCACAAAAATTATATTATCTGAAGAATTATCAAATCGTTGGGCAAAAGGAAATATCATCGTGGCCATTCTGTTGAGGGGTAGTGGGTATTTGGAGGTGTGGAAGGAGGGTCTGCGAGATTATTCTTAGTGGCTGTGCATAATAGAAGTAGGGATTTGTGATTTTATTTATTTGTGAACCATAGTATGAATTTTCTGGATAGTGTGTCTGGCTGTCATATAAATACGATAATGATTATGTAGCGGCATGAAATTGGTATTTCTGCTGTTCAAAAAAGCATTAATTCATGGTAAGTGCATTTTATTTTATTCTTGTTCTTATTTTGTAGAATGTTATGTTCATTGTTTTTTTAATATGAATTTCTGTTGTTATTGTTGTTTTTTTAATTGTTTGAAATTTATTTTAGTTATTTTAATTTATTTTGTTGATTAGTGCATAGTGTCTAGATTGTGCAATTCATAGATGTTTTTTAAAGTTGAAACAGAACACTGTGTACATGGTATTCTTTGAAATTTATTATTGTTATGTTAACTTATTAAAGTGAGGTGTGCGTAGTTCGTAGATTCGTTTGTTGCCTAGATTGTGCCATTCGTAGATGTTTTTCCAAATTAAAACATATTGCGATTCTTGTCAAATATTTTTGGTCAGAAACTTTATGTTTTTGCTATCTAAATTTTTTGTTTCGGATTTTTAGCTTAACTTGTGTGTTTAAAACGTGGTTTTCGCATGTGCGAAAAACCACGTTTTTGGAGACATTTT